AAAAATTTGTATTGTAATGTTCGACAATTGGAAAGGGAAACGCCCTTTTCGTCGGTAAAAATGGGATGCCCCCCACCACCACTAGAAATGGCCCAGGAACGCCACTGACTGGGTGGCTCTCTAAGTTTTAAAATGTTTTCCTTAGAGGTCCATTTATTATTGATCCAGTGTTACTGCAGGAAAAAGATCCTCTCTCCATTATTACTGACTTTACATATCTCTAAACCCACAAGCAGAAATCAACTTAATCTACGACAAATGGCTCTACATTATCGTGAACTGGAAACCTACATCTGGCCTCTTCATTGCTTTAGATGGCTTCCCCAAATCCTCAGATCCCAAAGGTAGCCCTGCAACTGGACTACAACCTTAAACAAGAACCCCAAATTTCTGTCTTGGTAGAAACGTTGGCGGAGCTGGTTTCTATTTTACCAAATTTTACCTTGCCTCTTTGGTGGTGTTCAAGGAATTTTTATCAGAGTCTCTTATATATCCTGTTTACTCGTATTATCATTCTAATTAGCCTGCGTGGCAGGCTCATTGGTATTTTTTTAAATAATACAGTAGCTAGCCTATATATAATACACGATCAATTTGAAAGACTGATTGTTGCCATACAACATTTGTTACATCATTCTGTAGTCTAATACATTTATACACTATCGTACTATTAAAATGGATGCACTTATAATTGCATTTCTGAGGTCATGCCTACAGTGCAGGTAACAATCTTTCTATTGGTTAGAATTTTTCCTCGCAGCATTTATGTTGCGTTTCGGCTAGCTTGTCATGCAATACGTCCCATCCCTCTTGAATAACCTCTCTGTCTAGTGTAATAATCACCCCTGCCCCCTCAACGTGGATGATTATGCTGTTGACTGTCTTCGGCATAACCATTCAACTTGGATGGTTATGTCGTTGACTGTCTTTGGCATAACCATTCAACTTACTGTAGATGGTCATGCCGTTGAATGTCTTGGGCATGGTTATGCCTAGTGAATATCATCAGCATAACCATTCGACCTAATTCAAAAAGTTAATCACATGACCATGGTTCAAGTCAATCATAACCATGGTTCACTTTATTTGAAAAGAGTAATCGCGGTGCCCCCAAAAGCGCGGGGCCCGTGGCATATCCAACTTCTGCCATATGGTTAATCCGGCACTGGTTTAGATTGGCGCAAATTCTTACTTCTCTACCGGGACTGAAACGGAATAGAACGCGCGCCTCAGGCTAGCTCATACCAGCATTATGTCAAGTCTCATAAAATTATTTTCGAAAATACACTCGGAAAAACCTGTGATTTTCATGTCCAGAAACGGCCTGCATATACTTGAATAAAGCATTAGCAGAAAGCCAATGGACTATAGATTTAAAATATGAATTGTTTAGATTCCCGCAAATTCTTGCTTCTTCTCTGCAGGGCCTGAACGGAATAGAACGCGCACCTAAGACTCGTACCGTGTAGCATTATGTCAAGTCGCAAAAAATTATTTTCGATAATACACTCGGAAAAACCTGTGATTTTCATGTCCAGAAACGGCCTGCATATAGAGAGTAAACGCGGGGCCCCCAAAAGCGCTGCATGGGCCCCCAAAAGCGCTGCATGGGCCCCCAAAAGCGCTGGGCCCCCAAAAGCGCTGGGCCCGTGGCATATGACACACTGCCCAGTCTGCCCGCTCTTCAGTGACCATAATTTTCCAAAGGCAAAGCTTGTTTTTACTCAGTCTAAAGTATTTGTTATAATGGGTTGTGCCATTTCTCTTTCGCTTTGTTTTGTTTATCAAAATGTGAATTCCATTTCTAGATAATGCACGTCTTCTTCAACCTCTTTGTCAGTTTATTCTCCTCGCTCCTGACGGAGTGCAAAACAGACCTTCCGCTGTAAAGAAGTTATTAAGTAAGTACTTATCATATGACTGTCTTATCATAAGTTGCTCTTTGTTAGTATAGATTTTCTTATATAACACCTCATTACATTTTGGTCATTTAATTAGTGCATATGATCACATCATAATATTATAATATTTTAATAAAATATTATAATATTATATTTTAATATTATTAAAATATATATATGTTATTTACCGGATTGGAGGTCCGTATAGAGAAATATTTCTCGAGGTCTTAAAAACGGCCGAAGGCCGAGGGACGTTTTTAAGACCGAGAGAAATATTTCTCTATACGGACCGACCATACCGGTAAATAATATTTTTATTTTTTTTTAATTCCTCCTCTGGATTTCCCCAATCACTCCTCCCGCACGCGAATGAAGCTGCCAAATAAAACGTCGTTTCTATCAATGCTATCGGGAAGAGAAATATCTTTTGTGAGATAGTAAAATTCGTTTTCACTGTGTTTTTCATCGTCTGCAAACATTTTAATGTTTTAAAAAGTAGCCTTTAAACTCGTCTTTAAATTTTGAAAAATGAAAACATTGGCTCTACGGCTTTAAATCTCGCGCGGTCCGTATGGGCTCATACGGACCGCTCACGTAGCCAATCAGATTGCAGAAAAGCGTAAAATATGACTTCGGACCGCAAGAAAAAAAATAATATATAATATTATAATACTTTTACCACAATTAAAGAAAATTTGTCAATCAAAGTTTGATTTGAGCAATTTAGACCAAGAATTAAGCTGTCCAATATTATAATATTATTAAAATATTTGCCGGTTTACACGAGACACATGAAACCAGATTCAGGGGCGCCGGAAGCAACATGAAGCGGCGGGGGCAGCCATTTAAAAAGGGGGCACTTACTCTTGAGCCTTAATTTTTTTTTTTGGGGGGGAAGGGGGCAATGTTCGTTAACATTTTGCTGTATAACGGATACTTCATTACTTGTAGCTAATACAGTTAGACAAATTTCGGCATGGATTGGAACATTTTTATTCGTTGCATGACACTAAAGACTAAAATGTATTGTAAAGCAACTTGACAGTTGTCAGTTATTTAGGAAGGCTTTCTTTTTCCCTTTTTTCATAGGTGGAAACTGATTGGTAACGTTTCTGAGAGGAATTCAGATTCAAATATGAGCTAAATTGTTTAAAAACAATTTTCAATTTCAATTCATGTGAAAAACGCACGACGTTCGAAGTGCAGTTCTGGTAAAAAAGGCAACCTGCTGCCCCCGTGCTGCCCCCGTGCTGCCCCCGCACTGTTTAGGCAACGGGGGCAGCTGCCCCGTGGCTCCGGCGCCCCTGACCAGATTAATTTGTAAGGTTCCGCATTTCGACATTTGTACCATACCACCTACATCATCACTTGTAGCTTTATACCAACTTGAACTGGTTGTAGTTTGTTTAATAATTCAAAATTGATTGTATATAATTGTATGTATTTTTAGTAGAATTTATACGGATTTACTAAATTGTTCAATAGGAATTTCAACTAGATTTTAGCTATCATTAAATTATGGATTTCGGTTCAACTGCATTTTTTCAGTCAGTCGGAAATTGATGTCATGACCTTTCATTATCATATTCATATTTCCAAGTATTATGAATAATCAAGGTTTGTTATTGCAAAATCAAACCAAAGCGAAGGCGGAAGTGTTTGAAAACGTCGTCTGTCTCTTGCTCTCGATTTATTTGCTTTACAATGTGAGATAAATGTGACAAAGAAAGATCATTGGTATCGAATCTTTAACTAGAAAGTGACGCAATGTTTCTATGAGCTATGAAGCATGGCTTGCTGCCCGACCGAAGAGAAATATGGCTACGAAGACTGTCGATTTGAGAAAGATGTCGACGAAAATTTCCATTGCTCTATCTGCTACAATGTTCTTAAAGAACCAAGGACGTGTAGGAATAATGATCACATCTTTTGTCTTGCCTGCATCACTCAACATCTAAAGGTGAACTCTCAAACTTGTCCTGAATGTAATGAGCATTTGAGCGTCGATACGCTTCGTCGGCCGCGTGTGTTGAATAACATTTTGTCTAAACTAAAGATAAATTGTGATCATGCCAGTCGGGGATGTCCTCAGTTTACCTGTCTTGAAGATCTCAAAACTCACGTGGTGAATTGTGGCTATGCACCTGTGTTGTGTTCATATGCGGAGTGTGGTATGGAGATTAACAAGCAAGATAAGGTCCATCATGAGACTGAAGTTTGTGATTATAGAAAAGTGAAATGTCATGACTGTGGACAGATACAGGAAGATGTCGGAACATTGAAAGGAAGTTTAATGGAACTGGATGGGAAAGTGGAACAAGGAATAAAGAAATTGGACGAAAAAGTGGAAGCAGTGAAGGAAATGAATAAGGAAATAAACAAAAAAGTGGAAGCAGTGAAGGAAATGAACGAAAACGTGGAAGCATCAAGTAGAGAAATGAAGAAGGAAATCGGGGAAGTTAAGAAAGAAGTCAGAGATATGAAGGACAATCTTTCCAAGTGAACAAAGACGTGGATGAAGTCAAAGTCATGATGATTCAAATGTTAGAGAAGTTAAATATGCTTGAACTGCTGAACAAACTGCCATCTCCGACTGAGGGAATGTTGAACACACCAAGAGAGGATATTTTGATTGCAGGTGGATATGGAGGGCGTTCAACATCTGGAAAAAGTACGGAAATTTATTCCTGGGAGAAAAATGGTTGGTTTGAGGTGTCGCCAATGAATGACGACCATAAAGGAGCTTCATCGTTTGTCTATAAAGATCAGTTTTTTGTTGTCGAGGGAGAAAATAGTAAGGCAATAGAGACCTTGAATCTTGATGAATTACCTTTGAAATGGACGAAATTTCTTGGACAACTCCCTTACAATTGTGATGCTCCTCAATTTGTTGTTTACCAGCAGAGTATCATTCACATTGGTGGATTTCAATATCAAAAAGGATGGTCCAATGTAATAAGTGAATTGCAACTTACTTCACCATGCATTATGAAGGAGTTGTGTCAAATGCCTGAACCACGAGCATATCATGGCGCTGAGGTATTTGAAGATAAAGTGCTGATTTTAGGAGGACATAACTCTGATGAGACTACAGACAGTGTATTGGAGTTTGATCCGAAAAGGAATGAATGTAAAGAGATGCCAAAATTACCGTCTGCCTTGAGGAGAATGGCGACAGTTTGCTGGAGGGATGAAGTAATTGTACTTGGAGGTCGTGATAAGGATGACCAAACTCGGAATGATGTTTTCATGTACAACTCCAAGATAGGCAAGACCACAACCTTACCATCCATGTTGGAGAAAAGATGTGGATGTTGTGCACTTATTACTGGAAATACCATTGTAGTGATTGGAGGTCTGAATGAGAAACGTAAACGTCTCAGTTCAGTGGAGTGTTTTACAATGGGAGGTTCTACATGGGAGTATCTTCCTGCCATGAACAATACCAGGTCCAGAGCAGTTGCTGAAGTTTTACCTTCCACACGAAAATATGTGTAAATTGGACATTGAGACAATCATAATACGTTAATTCATAATTAGGTTACGTTTTCGGGCACGATTACATGGTTCAGCTTTGTTAGGTTGAGATATGGGATGATTTTGATGTATTGAAATATTCCACGGTTTATGACTCAGAGAAATTACATCAATTTCCGAGATAGTTTTTCATGTAATTGACGCTGAACAACTAGCAATTTGCAGTCATAATAATTTCGCTAAACTACAGGTTTGATCAATTGCGTTCCAGCTCCTAATATTGTCGTTTGACTTCAACTTTATACAGCTGATTCAATTAAGGTTGTCTTTCCAAAACCTTAAACTCTGAGCGCGCAAGGGATGATGGGTTTTCACTTATTAAACCCTTAAACTCAGAAAATTGTCTTTGCGGCAAGTATGTTTTCTGTCGTGAGTCTTCTATATGTCTTAGATATTCTTGCAAAGCCAAATTTCATAGTATACGAGTCTAAATAAGCAATAACCCATCATCCCTTGCGCGCTCAGAGTTTAAGGTTTACGTTTTTGGAAGGACAACCTTAATTGAATTGACAACCTTAATCCTATTGTTGAACAATCAGTTTGTTTTGGATGAAAGTCAAATGTAGTCTGTACGAGAAATGTTTGGGGTTTTTTTTCATAATATTAATATAATATAATATTTTTATAATATTACGTACTATTTAAAACACGAGCAGGAGTGCTTTATTAGGTGTCGTTACCAAGCCCCTGCGCGCTCCATTGTTTGCTAAAAAGCGCGCGAAATTCCATATTTTTAAAAGCGTAATCAAAATGATTTTCCTTTCAATAAAACAATTATTGAATTCGGTTTTGGTGTGAAATATCGAGAATTATCAAGGCCTCGGTTTGTGTTATCCACCTCAGTCTTCGCTTTCAGTGGATAACACAAACCCCGGCCTTGATAATTCTTGATATCATACTCAACCTCATTGAATAAAAATATGAAAAATCATATCAGCATTATGACGTGACTCCGTTAAATATTATCTCAGAGCTCCTTATTTAGTGAAACTATTGAGTTGATATGGCGATTTCACAGTTGGCTGTTACAATCAGAAACAATGAATCTTTTAAATACCTCCTTTTACCCCCAAACACCTCCCAAATTTATTTTCCTTTATTTCAGCTATTATCAAAGTTGTTTATCCGCGAAAACCATCCATTGTGTCAAAATACGCTCTGCCAGTGATGTGGAAACTTCTCGAGTCTTCGAGCAGTGCATCGACTGGCAGTGGAAATATGAAGGAAGCCGTTCACGGTTTGGCTAACCTACTTTATTCTTTAATGGGACAATCTCTGTTTGAGCAGGCTCAAGCAAAGTCGCACAGATTACGACAAAAGCTCAAAGAGCTATTGGATCAATGACTGGATCAATGATTGACAATCTGCTTTGTGAGCAGAGAATGTTGGAATGGGGTCCAGGCCAGATTCCATAAAAGGCCGTTACACACACGGAAAATTTCGTCCCGCCAACACGCTGAGCTTTTGCCGCGTTCGATCTGGTCACCATTGGCTCAGCTTCGGCCGTACAACAACAGCCAGAACATCAAAACTGACCGAATTGGGCTCACTGCTGCTCGGATATTTTGCTCCTGTATACGGTAAATTCTCTATTAAGACCCTCTCTCCTTCAGGCAATAATATAAGCTCCTATTCTTTATGGGGAAGCCTTTGGCTAATAACATCCACGCTTATTTTAGAGGGAGAAATCGATAAGCCCGCGCCCATCCCTGGCCAATAGGCCATTCGCTATTTGTCCACTTTCCAAGAAAGACCTCTCCCTCAAGCGTGCTTGAAACAACTAATCCCCCCGGAGACTTGATATAGGATTTACCGTCAGGAATGGAAGGTTGTGGTCGCCTTTTATAAAAAACAACTTCCCTGGTGTTGACAAGTTGTCTTAAAAGAGAGTTCTATAATATTTAATATATTAATAATGTTTTTAACATTTGTACATACACAATGCGTGAACATTTTAAAAAGAGTGAAAATTCAATTGGAATTTATATATGGCTATAGTTTAGCTGTAAACATTTTTATGCTGAAATAATTATACCTGTAAATGTACTTTAGTAGTTGACTTTCAAGCGTCCCTTGAACTGTTTACGCGTTAGCTATTACTTTTCCCTCAAATTTGCCGTTAGCTGCCGTTGTCAGTTTTGGTGTTAGAAAAAGGCGTCAAAAATGGGGCAAAAACTCCTTGGCTTTTTCCAACAACAAGTAAAGGCGAACGTTTTTTGATTTTTGAAAAAGTGGTGGGGGAGGGGAGTAAATGCCTTAATATTTTTTTCAAAAAAGTTTTAAAAACTTAAAAGTGGCTAAAACGTTCAGGGGTTAACTTTTTGTCGAATTTCAGCCTCGTTTCGAAAATGTCAAAAAGTGGTTAAAATGGCCAAAAGGTAAAGGTTAACCTTAAATTCTGGCCATTTTTCGCTACTTCTTGATGTTTTTAATATTACCTGCTATTTGCAAAAAATACGATTGCCGAATCAGGGTGCATTAAAATCTGACCAATAAGAATGCGTTAATAAGGGGCTGATTACATCACGGTTAATAGACTATGGACCGGGCTGAAAAATGCCAGGAAAATCTTCCTTCGGCCACAAAATGAGTTTTGAAACAGGTTTAGGATGATTTTGCATCTATGCTAAACCAATTATTTATCGCAAATTTATTTTACGCGACTTTTAAAACCAAAGTATTCAGTAAGGTCCTAAACAAACAAGTCAGTCCGGTTAACCGGGCCAGCCCGGCACCATGTATCAGCCCCTAAAACTCGTGACTTCCAAAATTCGAGCAGGGTTAGCCCAGAGCAGCCGAGCAGGGTTGGTCGATTACTCGATTGGAGAATTAAAAAAAACGTTTGAAAAAAGTTAAAACAGACCTACCACATACCTAAGTTTTTACAAGAAGAAGAATAAAACGTCTACGTTTTCCTATCAAATGACCGCTCTTGCCCCCAAAACAATGTTGAGGCTATGCTAAATGCTTTTTATTAATGGGACACCATTCAACATTGATCGGTGGGGGAAAGGGGGGTTCTTTAATTTAGTTCTGATGTCCATAAATATGGTGATAAGTGTCGTCAATGCTTTGACCAGGATTGTGGTTTGTTGAATTAAATATTTCAAAATTGATAGTATATAATTGTATGTATCTTAATTTAGTACTTCGCTTAATTAAACTGCATTTTTTCAGTCAGCCGGAAATTGATGTCATACCTTTCATTAATATCATTAGGGACTGGTCATAATTTTGCAGGAGGGGTGGGGAGGTGGAAACACACTGGGGGGTCCACATTTTTTAGCCAGGAAAAAGGGGGTTCATAAAATATTAGACAGTTTATAAAAGCGGGGAGGGGGCCTGCTGTTTTAGTTCAATGAATTGTTTCATACATGCCTTTGCAGTGAGTTGCATTGAAAAAAATTGATTCTTTAAACTTAGAATGAAAAGTTTGAAAAAACTAAAGTTTTATATATGACTATGTATTGGTATAATATAAATTTTAGTATTCGAATTAGTAATGGTTTCTTAAGACATTTTACTATGAAGTTCTGCGAATAAGTACATTTTATCGCAGAACTTCATAAATTTTAGTATTTGATTTAAAATTAAAGCGCAACTGGAAAATTAGAAAATTTAAAGTGCAATTAGAAAATCATTGAATGCAGGGTTTAGTACTGGGTAGGGGCATTTTTACTGACACGAGCAAGAGAGAGGGGGGAGTATTATTTTTCCGGGTCATGGTTCCTTAAAATTTCGAATTACAACTCCCACCCACACCCACCCCCCCTGACAAATTATGACCAGCCTTATTACTGTGAAATTTCCAAGTATCATATTCATACTTCCAAGTATTGCTATTGCAAAATCAAACCAAAGCGAAGGCGGTAGTTTTCAAAACCTCGTCTGTTTCTTGCTCTCGATTTATTTGCTTTACAATGTGAGATAAATGTGACAAAGAAAGATCATTGGTATCGAATCTTTAACTAGAAAGTGGCGCAATGTTTCTATGAGCTATGAAGCATGGCTTGCTGCCCGACCGAAGAGAAATATGGCTACGAAGACTGTCGATTTGAGAAAGATGTCGACGAAAATTTTCATTGTTCTATCTGCTACAATGTTCTTAAAGAACCAAGGACGTGTAGGAATAATGATCACATCTTTTGTCTCGCCTGCATCACTCAACATCTAAAGGTGAACTCTCAAACTTGTCCTGAATGTAATGAACATTTGAGTGTCGATACGCTTCGTCGGCCGCGTGTGTTGAGCAATTATTTGTCTAAACTAAAGATAAATTGTGATCATGCCAGTCGGGGATGTCCTGAGTTTACCTGTCTTGAAGATCTCAAAACTCACGTGGTGAATTGTGGCTATGCACCTGTGTTGTGTTCAAATACAGAGTGTGGTATGGAGATTAACAAGCAAGATAAGGTCCATCATGAAACTGAAGTTTGTGATTATAGAAAAGTGACATGTCATGACTGTGGGCAGATACAGGAAGATGTCGGAACATTGAAAGGAAGTTTAATGGAACTGGATGGGAAAGTGGAACAAGCAGTGAAGGGAATAAAGAAGTTGGACGAAAAAGTGGAAGCAATGAAGGAAATGAATGAAAAAGTGGAAGCAGTGAAGGAAATGAATAAGGAGACGAACGAAAAAGTGAAGGAAATCAACGAAAAAGTGGAAGCATCAAGTGGACAAACGAAGAAGGAAATCGGGGAAGTTAAGAAAGAAGTCAAAGATATGAAGGACAATCTTTCCAAAGTGAACAAAGATGTGGACGAAGTCAAAGTCATGATGATTCAAATGTTAGAGAAGTTAAATGTGCTTGAACTGCTGAAGAAACTGCCATCACCGACTGAGGGAATGTTGAACACACCAAGACAGGATATTTTGATTGCAGGTGGATATGGAACGCGTTCAAATAGACCTGGCAAAAGTACGGAAATATATTCCTGGGAGAAAAATGGTTGGTTTGAGGTGTCGCCAATGAATGCAAACCATGGTAGAGCTTCATCATTTATCTATAAAGATCAGTTCTTTGTTGTCGGGGGAGCAGATAGTAAGGCAATAGAGACCTTGAATCTCGATGAATTACCTTTGAAATGGACGAAATTTCTTGGGGAACTGCCTTATAAATGTGCTGATCATCAAATTGTTGTTTACCAGCAGAGTCTCATTGACATTGGTGGATTTAATTATGGCAAAGGATGGTCTAAAGTGATTAGTGAATTGCAACTTACTTCACCTTGCATTATGAAAGAGTTGTGTCGAATGCTAGAACCACGATCATATCATGGCGCTGAGGTATTTGAAGATAAAGTGCTGATTTTAGGAGGTTATGGCCCTGGTTTTAAGAATACAGACAGTGTATTGGAGTTTGATCTAAAAAGGAATGAATGTAAAGAGATGCCAAAATTACCGTCTGCCTTGAGGAGAATGGCGACAGTTCGCTGGAGGGATGAAGTAGTTGTGCTTGGAGGTCTTAATGAGGATCATCAAGTTCTGAATTATGTTTTCATGTACAACTCCAAGACAGGCAAGATCACAGTCTTACCATCCATGTTGGAGAAGAGATATAACTGTTGTGCAGTTATTACTGGAAATACCATTGTCGTGATGGGAGGTATGAATGAGAAAGTTGAACATCTCAGTTCAGTGGAGTGTTTTACAATGGGAGATTCTACATGGGAGTATCTTCCTGCCATGAACAAACAAAGATGCAAAGCAGTTGCTGATGTTTTACCTTCCACACGAAAATATGTGTAAATTGGACATTGAGACAATCATAAGACGTTAATTCATAATTAGGTTACGTTTTCGGGCACGATTACATGGTTCAGCTTTGTTGGGTTGAGATATGGGATGATTTTGATGTATTGAAATATTCCACGGTTTATGATTGGGAGAAATTACATCAATTTCCCAAGAAAGTTTGCCATGTAATTGATGCTGAACAACTATAGCAATTTACAACCATACTGATAATTTCGTTAGACTACAAGTTTGATCAATTGCATTCCAGCTCCTAATATTGTCGTTTGACTTCAACTTTATGTACGTTGTGACTTATGTCGATACATTAAAATCATCCTGCTTCATTGTGAATCAAATCTCAATAACTGTATAGTGATGTTTATGTTAGTTGAATATATGCAAGGAAGGTACAAAATTATAGCAAAGTCTTAAGTCCATTTCATCCATTCTCCAGCCTTTCTTATAAAATGTCATCGCAAATTTTCATACAGCCTAAAATTGACTTTATAACATTCGGCTGTCGTTTCGTTTAAAAACAATTTGATTGATTGTCCTAGATTATATAATTATAGTATTACGTAGTCATCACTGTATGTTATAATAAATCAAAAAATTAATAAAATTTCATTTCTTAATTCGGAAATAAAACTATACTGGAAATTCTCTTGCATGCTTTATTCAACTCTGAGGAAACGAGTGAAATATTTTGAATCTTGAAGACTGCTTTTCAATTGAGAAAAGTACATAAATCCAGCTACCAGTAAGATTCAAAATATCACTTCAGAAAAACGATATCTTTTAATAATTTAAGTTTCACCATCAATCATTTCGGAATTACGGTGAAATGCCCGCAGACAATAGCATGAGAACGAGACGTCGTGCAAAGTTGTTGTTTCTGTATTTCAGCACGTACGAACCCTCGACTTGATCTTATTGTTTTTCACAACTAGAGCGTAATCTCGAAATAACCTATTGTTGAACAATCAGTTGTTTTGGATGAAAATCAAATCTAGTCTGTAATATCAATTGAAAATGTATCTACACTACAGCTTTAAAGTAGTATTTAAAACACGAGCAAAGAGTGCTTTGATCAGCTATAAAACACGAGAGCGCACTCTTGAATTAGTTTGAGTTTTTTAACTTTTGTAATTTATAAACAACGAGAAATGTTTTTTGTTCATAGTATAAATATAATAATATAATATTATATGTTTCTTATTATAAATCTATTATACTATTATAATATTATTAAAATCTTTGCCGGTTTACACGAGACACATGAAACCAGATTAATTTATAAGGTTCTGCATTTCGGCATATGTGTGATACCACCTACATCATCACTTGTAGCTTCATACCAACTTGAACAGGTTGCAGTTTGTTAAATAATTCAAAATTGATAGTATATAATTGTATGTATCTTTGTACGGATTTACTAAATTGTTCAACAGCTAGGAGTTTCAACTAGATATCGGTCAGCCGGAAATTGATGTCATGACCTTTCATTATCATAATCTTTCATTATCATAAATATTTCCAAGTATTGTGAATAATCAAGGTGTTGTTATTGCAAAATCAAACCAAAGCGAAGGCGGAAGTGTTTCAAAACCTCGTCTGTTTCTTGCTCTCGATTTATTTGCTTTACAATGTGAGATAAATGTGACAAAGAAAGATAATTGGTATCGAATCTTTAACTAGAAAGTGGCGCAATGTTTCTATGAGCTTATGAAGCATGGCTTGCTGCCCAACAGAAGAGAAATATGGCTACGAAGACTGTCGATTTGAGAAAGATGTCGACGAAAATTTTCATTGTTCTATCTGCTACAATGTTCTTAAAGAACCAAGGACGTGTAGGAATAATGATCACATCTTTTGTCTTGCCTGCATCACTCGACATCTAAAGGTGAACTCTCAAACTTGTCCTGAATGTAATGAGCATTTGAGCGTCGATACGCTTCGTCGGCCGCGTGTGTTGAATAACATTTTGTCTAAACTAAAGATAAATTGTGATCATGCCAGTCGGGGATGTCCTCAGTTTACCTGTCTTGAAGATCTCAAAACTCACGTGGTGAATTGTGGCTATGCACCTGTGTTGTGTTCAAATGCAGAGTGTGGTATGGAGATTAACAAACAAGATAAGGTCCATCATGAGACTAAAGTTTGTGATTATAGAAAAGTGAAATGTCATGACTGTGGGCAGATACAGGAAGATGTCGGAACATTGAAAGGAAGTTTAAGGGAACTGGATGGGAAAGTGGAACAAGGAATAAAGACGTTGGACGGAAAAGTGGAAGCAGCAGTGAAGCAAATAAATGGAAAAGTGGAAGCAGCAGTGAAGGAAATGAATGGAAAAGTGGAAGCAGCAGTGAAGGAAATAAATAAGGAAATGAACGAAAAAGTGGAAGCAGCAGTGAAGGAAATGAATGGAAAAGTGGAAGCATCAAGTGGACAAACGAAGAAGGAAATCGGGGAAGTTAAGAAAGAAGTCAAAGATATGAAGGACAATCTTTCCAAAGTGAACAAAGACGTGGACGAAGTCAAAGTCATGATGATTCAAATGTTAGAGAAGTTAAATATGCTTGAACTGCCGAACCAGCTGCCATCTCCGACTGAGGGAATGTTGAACATACCAAGACAGGATATTTTGATTGCAGGTGGATATGGAGGGCATTCAACATCTGGCAAAAGTACGGAAATTTATTCCTGGGAGAAAAATGGTTGGTTTGAGGTATCGCCAATGAATGACATCCATAAAGGAGCTTCATCATTTATCTATAAAGATCAATTATTTGTTGTCGGGGGAGGTGGTAGTAAGGCAATAGAGACCTTGAATCTCAATGAATTACCTTTGAAATGGACGAAATTTCTTGGGGAACTGCCTTATAAATGTGATGATCATCAAATTGTTGTTTACCAGCAGAGTGTCATTCACATTGGTGGATATAATCATGGCAAAGGATGGTCTAACGTGGTTAGTGAATTGCAACTTACTTCACCTTGCATTATGAAAGAGTTGTGTCAAATGCTTCAACCACGAGGCTGTCATGGCGCTGAAGTATTTGAAGATAAGGTGCTGATTTTAGGAGGATTTTGCCCTGGTAATAAGACTACGGACAGTGTATTGGAGTTTGATCCAAAAAGGAATGAATGTAAAGAGATGCCTAAATTACCGTCTGCCTTGAAGAGAATGGCGACAGTTCGCTGGAGGGATGAAGTAGTTGTGCTTGGAGGTACTGATAAAGGTGGCCAAATTCTGAATGATGTTTTTATGTACGACTCCAAGACAGGCAAGACCACAGCCTTACCATCCATGTTGGAGAAGAGATATGGATGTTGTGCAGTTATTACTGGAAATACCATTGTAGTGATGGGAGGTGAGAATGAGAAACGTCAATGTCTCAGTTCAGTGGAGTGTTTTACAATGGGAGGTTCTACATGGGAGTATCTTTCTGCCATGAACAATGCCAGGTCCAGAGCGGTTGCTGAAGTTTTACCTTCCACACGAAAATATGTGTAAATTGAACATTGAGACAATCATAAGACGTTAATTCATAATTAGGTTACGTTTTCGGGCACGATTACATGGTTCAGCTTTGCTGGGTTGAGATATGGGATGATTTTGATGTATTGAAATATTCCACGGTTTATGATTCGGAGAAATTACATCAATTTCCCAAGATAGTTTGCCATGTAATTGATGCTGAACAACTAGCAATTTACAGTCATTTTACAGTCAGTAATTTCGTTAAACTTCAGGTTTGAACAATTGCATTTCAACTCCTTATATTGTCGTCTGACTTCAACTTTATATACGTTGTGACTATGTGTTATGCATATCGATACATTAAAATCATCCTTCTTCATCCTGAATTACATCTCAATAACTATATACTGATGTTTATGTGAGTTGAATATATACAGAGAATGTACAAAATTATATATATATAGATATAGATATAGTATTAAGTATAATCATGACTATAAGTTGTAATAAATAAATAAATTAATGAAATTTTATCTCTTAATTCTGAAATCAAACAATACTGGAAATTCTCGTGCTTTATTCAACTCAGTGCCTTTTTTAACTATATATCTGGGGGGGGGGCAATTGCCATCCCAGGGAAAGAATTCCCCCCCCCCCC